ATGACTTGACTAGTATTTGTAATCCCATCAACACAAGTGATGCCCTGATAGACTCGCTTTTGGACTGTACACGCTGTTAGATGGTCGATTTAGAATATGCGCGCGCAAGGCTGCCGCTGTGTGTGTGCATCAACAAGTCAGAAGAGACCGAACAACATTTAATTTTGAGAAGATAAAGATTTTTACAGCCTGAATTTAGGAAAAAGAGAAATCGTAAAAAAACGATTACGTAATAAAAACCATCTGACGCTAATCATCTAATAGAAATAATTTATAATTCTGCTAATGATCCCCCAAATAATAAATGATTATACCGCTGGAAAGAAGGAAATTAATTTAAATAAATTGCTTCATGGAGTAAAATGAAAACACCTCCCAAACCAGCTTATTTAACTAAGATTTTTTTTTAAAGATTCTACCACACTGAAAAAGTAAATAAATATCCTAGCACAACCCATATTCTAGGTCACCGCTCTGGTATGAATACATTGATCCTAAATCCGCAGTTGATCCAGCCAAGTGATCTCTGGGCCAAGGGCAATCCACCCATAAATTTCCATCGTATTTAATCAGATCCATTCCCATATATTCCTGCTGAAAAAAAAACTAATTGATCTTCTCTGAAACAAGAGTTCACATGAATAAAAATCTATGACATAAAATCTTGATGTTCGTATAATCTGAATGAAAGCAAGCTAAAAAGGACATGATGATAATGGGCTTTATAAGTGTAATAATAAGTTTACGATAACAGCGATTATGATGTTTTTGATAATTAAAAGGCGCGAGACGCTGGAATAGACATGATTATTCCCAATAGAATAAGTGATATAACGAAACTCTTAAATAAACATAAAATAAAAATCGTGAATATGATGATAAATATAATCTATGATAAAAAAAATAATCAGATAATGATAGAGATGAGATGATTACCTTCAGAAATAGCGACATTGATACAGTACTAGAAATAGCAACAAAAAACATGTTACTTTTAATTGCAATAATGACCAGAAAATGATAATAATGGAATGGAGGAAACAAGAAGAACGAAAATAGAAAAAAAAAAAAAAACAAAAACAAAAACAGGTTTCTGAAAGAGTAATATTTTGATTGTCTCTGCCGTGCATCCTGCTTACATGACAGCTGATATGTGTTAGTCAGTAATTCTTCTGTCCTGCAATTTTACACGTGCACGATATCCCTCTCTGAATGTCTCTGGGGGACGCTCATTGTTATGTGTAGGAGATGAGGGCGGAGGGACTGTAGTGTTAGATACTCTCTCTTCTCTTCTCTCTCTCTCCTCTCTCTCTCTCTCTCTTCTCGTCTCTCTCTCTCTCTCTCTCCATCCGTCTCCTGCTCTCTCTCTCGTTCTCCAATCTCTTCTTTCTTCTCTCTCTACTCTCTCTTTCCTTTCTCTCTCGCTCCCCCCACTCTCTTTTCTTTCTCTCTCAGTCTTTCTTTCTAATCGCCCCCCTCTCGCCTTCTCTTTCTTTCTTTCTCTCTTCCTCTCTCTCGTCTTCTCTTATTCTCCTCTCTCTCTCTCTCTCATCTCTTCTCTCTCTCATCTCTCTCTCTCATCTCTCTCTCTTCACTCTCCTCTCTCTCTCTCCCACTTTCTGTCCTCTCTCTATCTGTCTCTTCTCCTCTTCTCTCTCTCCTGTCTCACTCTCCTCTCTCTCTCTCTCTTCTCTCTCTATTATATATATATTACTATTATTATATATAGTATATAGATAGATAGATAGATCGATATACCAACATACATTCATCACACACTGCACGCACGCACGCATGGCACGCATGCACGCACGCACGCACGCACGCACGCACGCACGCACGCACGCACACACACACACACACACACACACAGCACACAC